CCACAGGCAAACAAGTTCTTGAAATTTGCCCTTGGCGCCAAGTGAGCCACCTGTGAAGAACTGTGTCTCCACAAATCGAATCCAGCTGGGATGACTTGCCCCCGGGCCACAAAAGCTATGGGCTGCCCAAAGTCCTCATCAGACTCCTCCGATGACTCCCCTAAGGAATCACTGGCCTCAGAGTCACTGATGGAAATGATGGCAGCATCTGTGGCTTCAGCAGAGGCCACCTCCACTTTACACGCGGCGGGCACATGCTCGTGCACAGGTGAGCCCTCAGCAACTGATGCCTCACCCAGGCCCGGCACAAAGCTGCCGGCCAGGGGCTTTGCATCAATAGACACAAGCCTCCCGCTCCGTGTCTCGTCAGGACGGAAAATTCCTTCTCTGACTTCCTTTAACACTTTCTCTACCACCAACAGCAAAGGGGCCTGAGCATCACGGCTGTACACCAAGTCCATACCTCCCGCTGCATGGTAACCAAGTCTCTGAAGAGTCAAAGGATCGACTCCGCGCTTGGCTGCCCAAGAAATGATGGTGGCCTTCATGGACTTCGAGGAAACCTGAAGGCTCTCATCACCGAGCCCCAACATCAGCCTCATCCACGAAGTAGCCTCGTCGGTGTCGAGGGCTCTGACTGTTGGGCTCCCCTGCGAATCAGGGGCTGGCATAAAAGGGCAACGACCTTGGCTCAAGATTCCAAGCTGCTCCCGACAAGTCCTCCATAGCTGCCCGAAGGGTCTGATTCCAAGGGCAGGCGAAATCGCATGCAAAAACTTGTGTCGCTTGCTCTGCAGCCTACAGGTTTTATGCACCCCGATGCGCAGCTCTATGTAGCAAAGATTGCCCTCGTGATCTTGGTCCCAAATGATGTCCTCAGTGTGCTGGACATCGCTCCACCGGCACCTGCTGTAGCAGCAAACCAAGCATGCACCTGCGAAGACCCGTGTCCACTGGTCGGCATGCTTCTCAAGAGCATCATGCAGCACCTCGAGTTGTGCAACTGCGAGCGGTGGTGCTTGTCGGGGGAAATGCACGGTGGTGCATATGCCTTTGCACCTACGGCTAAGACACGAGCTCTCAATCTCAGACACACCAATGACATGCCGAACAAAGGGCCTCCATGATCGAAGAGATGCGGCTCGGAGGGGCTCCGTCTCGCTCAAGAGTCTTCAAGAAATCATAAACATCACTCTCCAAGCACGGGAAAGAAACATTCTTGTCGTTCAAGAAGTCTTGCAGCAAAACCAACGCTCTTGCCCTCTTTAAAATCGTGCTCGGTGCCTTGCCCTTCATCATGTCACCCAAAACCTCGATCTTATCTTCCCGAGAGACACATGCATCCAGGTGGGCAGCTAGCAAGCAATCCCCCCACCTAGACACAAGCGAAAGCCACAAGTCA